ACCGATCTTCGTCCTTTGAACTCAGCGTAGCAGGGCAAAGCTGACTGTCTGGGGCAGCAGGATCATCTTTGATGATCTATTTATTGTCCGGCTCCAATTTGCAAGGCTTCACAATGTGATATCTGTTCCATCATGCATAACAGGAACGATCAGTCGTATGTAAAGGACAACGGCAAAGATAAATTGTTTAGGTTTGGGTTATAAGCCTGGTACACAGTGCAGAGCAAACAACAGATCAGCTCAGGGTGAGCAGAAAGATGATCTTTCAGCTGTTCCTATATGTTTTTGAACACTGATTAGCCATATTTTTTTTTCTTTTGAATACACATGACTGAAGAAAGGCCCTGAACATCTCAGTGTGCTCGAGGTTCAGATGACCTTCCTACTCTGGTATGTGTCTCTTTACTGCAAGGCCTTGTCTTTTCTTTTTCTCTCCTCTTCTCCTCAGTAAACCTTGTAATTGAAGTCAAGAGATACTGCAACGCCTTCACTACAGCTGACAAAGGACTGGCATAAAGGCGAAAAGAGGGGGCAACCTTTAACATATGACTACTATGTCCTTTTATGCAAAAATAATTAATTTTGCAACCTTGTGCAGTAGTCTAAAAAGCCTCTTTAGCAGCACTTTTAGAAGTGCCACGAGGTTCTGAAAATAAAATAAAACCATCATTATTACTGCTTTTGCTTAGTTAGAGAACAATCCCTAATACATTTCCTTTGGTTCTTTTCAACCTTTTTGCCTGACAGCCCACAAAATGAAGGCAGCTTTTGCAGTACAGATGATTGTATTTATCTTGCCTTTCCCACTCTTTTCTCATCACCTGCTAAAGTTGTCACAGGCAATGTTTAATGCCTACTAGCTCACTGAATCACTAGTAATTACTGCTACTGAATGCTTCTAAAGTATGACTTTCGTCTCATTGTATGCCACCAACAGTAAAATCTATGTGCAGCTGCCTGAAGGCAAGTTCCTGAGATATTAGTTCTCCATTCTCAGAACTGTTAGTCACACTGACAGACACCTGAGGCGATATAAAATGTCGCTCAAAGCCATGACAGAGGGAGACGGGCTACTTCTCTTCTTCAAAACCTCTCAGTGAGGAGCAAAGAGATACAGTGAGGAGGGGAAGTAACTTTATAAACCTGCACTTATACCCCTTCGCATATGGGGGCCATACTTCGGAGTAGACATGAAGAGGTAACCCATATAGCTACAAGGTCCAGTATCATAAATAACACAAGACTTCTCCTCTCCCTTCTCCATCTCCTTCACTTCACTGCTGGAGTGTTTCATATGGTAACTAGGTGTTCACTGTGTGGCCACATTGTTGCCCATCTTTCAAGTGGCTCAGAGGAGGAAACCTTGAGGTAGGGGAAGAGAAGGAATTTTTGATGAAAAAATGCATTATTCTGTTCTTTTTCCAGTTTCCAACCCCACTTTCTCTACCGCTCGCTGTGGGAGAGGAGTATTTATTACATAAACGGTGAGAAGAGGAGAGGAGAACTCGGCCAGAGGAAGAGGTAGAAATGGAGAATAGGGAAGCTACAGGCTCTGTCGCCTTCTCTGCACTCCTACCTACAGAGTAATATGATAGATGTAATTTGTTACAAATATTGTCGATGCCATCCTCGTGCACTTTGATTGCATAAAGATGTCAGTATTGATCCAGCAGAACTTCACCATTAACTGCAATAAAATGAAAATGGATACACATGGGCATACCAAAGGACAAAGTAGACTTTGGTAGCCACTGCGATTTATCAACACTGTTTAAATTATTCACCACATTTCTTTTCACATTTTTTTAGAACGTCTAATATTAAAGAAAATCATTAACACACCACTGTGTATTAAATCGTGCTTCTTTGTCTTAGTTCCCTTTTTTAAATGGATATATTAATGTTTTTTATGAGTAATAAGCAAATATTGCCTTTGAGTTGGCAAGTTAGAGTCGCTAAACTATGAGTAAATATTTACCAAAGGTTTAACTATTTGATCTTACAGAATCCCTTCTGGTCCAGGTCTTCTTCATCTCTTCTACAAATGCTGCTCATCTCTGAAAGGGTTCTTTTGGATAAATTAAGGTAACAGTTAAAAAGACATGTTTTGCTGCACAAGGTTGTATGACAACCAAAATGAAATTTCATAGCCTGGAAACGTAAAACATGGGATTACGAAAGGCTTGTTACCAGCCTATAAAGCAGTGATAAATTATTTAGTAAAAATCAGAACATTAACAATATATAAACCCCTTAAAGTATGTCCCAGTAGAAGGTGGTACCCAAAAGCTACATGTGTCTTTGCCACTAAGTAGCTTGACTTTCCAGCATCACCCCAAACCTCTCCATGAGAATGAGCTGGAATCCCAAGAATCCCAGCCTAACTTATTCAGCTGCTCCTATTATTTCCATAATTGCCAGCATTGTAGTGGTGTTTGTAATGTCATTAATAGCAGGCGTTGGCGTATAATACGCTTAATGTTATTTATCTGTTGGCAGATAGCTTGATGCTACTAATCCTCATTCATTTGCTGTGGATCAATGCAAATCCGCTAGTGTGAGTGAAATCCCCTCCCCCTCCAAGAGCCGATGGTTCCTAATGTATTTTCCCACCATTAACCAGCCATAATCCCTGCTAATCATCACTAATCCACATCTCCTGTGTGTGACGATACTTCCCTGATGAAGGAGGCATTGGTGTTCATCGGCGCCCGGGCAGTGCTGAGGCTGGAGCTCCACTGCAAGGGCTGCTGAGGGCCCGCTCAGTAGGAAAGCAGACTGCTGAGAATGAATGAGATGGAAGGGAGGAAAGAATGAACTGCAGTGATACTTAGGTCAAATACCTGGGTTTTGCTGTTTTGTGATGAGTTCTCCTCATGTATTATTGATTTAATGGCATAATGGAGGTTGTGTCCCTCCATACGGTGCAGAATAAAAATTGCATATCATCAAAAAATAACAGTTGGTGTGAGTCACCACAGTCTCTCATGTCTGGTCAACTGTGGATGTCTTCTGTTTAGCCTTCTATGTCCCCTCTGCAGGCCTCTGTGCATTTGCCACAATTTCTGCTGGTCACTTTAGGTGGTTTGTGAGCCTGATCTAACACAGGCAGGCCTGTTGTTTGATCTCTGTTTGACTCACCTATAAAACTTTTAATAATGAGAACAAGTGGCTCATTGAGAAGCTGTTTACTATGAAGAGATGAACTGGATGCAAGGCTGTGCATAAAAAGGCATTCTCAACAGTTTATCAGGGTGTTCCTCAGCTCAGTATGGGCCTTTGGGGGGCGGGTGACATGACAGTAAGCATGATTGATCCAGGGATAGCAGAGGCAATGAGTCTGTGTAACCTTATTTAGCTGGAATCTATGTATTTTTCATGTAACTAACATTTCATAAACAAAAATCTGTATTATACTTGGGTAAATAAAAAAATTATAATAGTGATTTCTTTTACTATTATTGCTATTATCATTAAAACACTAAAGCTTTTTCACTGTATCTGGATAAAATCTCTCTAGGGGGGTGCCAAAAAATGCTACAAGCAGCAAAAACCCTTTTAATGTCTATCAGAGTCATAAACCTTAGCCCAAATGAATTTATGTATTAGCTTGATAGCGGACTAAAGGAAATAGAGCGCAGTGTTTTGTTTAACTTTTGTAAAGCTGTTTGAAGATTGGCCAGCTAAAGGTTCTGACACAGCCACAAACAATGAAGAGAAATAATCTCGTTCCTGATGATTATTGGAATATTACGTTCCTCGTTTTAAGGCTCATTTGACTTTGAAGTACCCCAGTTTAGCCAGCAGGGGGCGCCTGCGACTCGCTGTTGTCTGGCAATTGCTTTGCTTCCTAATGTGGCCTCTTCTCCCACAATTTGACCACCTCAGCCTATGAAAAAAAATAAACTTTTACACTTCCATCACAGAAGCACCAAAGATCGACTAAAAAACCCCCAATACAATCTGAATTTTTGTTTTGTTTTTTGTTTCTCTTGTTATTTTATCGCAGCTTTCCAAAGGCATGCCATGGATGAACAAATGATGCTCACAAAATCATGTTTAAAATTATTCGGAACATCCTAAATTGAAGGAAATAATTCACGAAGAGAAATTTTAACGTTGGTGCATATATATGTATACTAACAGACGAAGGCGTTATTTATTAAGAAAGTTAAAAAAATTAAAAAGTGGCTAAACTGAACGGGACACAAAACTTTGCATTGCGAGTTCCTGTACGATCACCACAAAAACCATGAGGAAATGCGTAAATATAAATGTGCAATTATTAATAATATGAATTTACTATCCTCTACTAAAAGAATAAATTCATCAAGAAACGCAAACTTTAGATTGTAGCTATAATCCCATTTAGTAGTGGCTACTTCAATAAGAGAAATCAACAGTAAATCTTTTTAATTTTCTCGGTTTTCGTCATGTATCAATAAACAGTAAATTTTCTTAAAATATCCGCAGCTGCACAAATTTCACTACATATATGTTGGTTTTATCTACACATGCAAATGTAAAAATAATGCTTTCTGCCGCTTTGTTCCGTTGTAATTGACAGAAGGCTCCATGAGGTGAGACTGTATTTAATTTACTATTTAGTGATGTCGATTTTTTTTAATGCTAGAAACACATAAATATGCTGCCTGTTTATTAGGCTTGTCTTTATCCTTATAAAAGTTTAGGGCCCGTCGTTTATGTCGATCCTATGGGCCTGTGTGCCTTTTCCTCTCTCTATCTTTGGAAAAGAGGCTGATGTTTGCCTGCAGGCACTTCTGAGATCAAAGATTCATCACAATTCGCCTTTTAAATGCCTAAAACACGTCAAGTGATGATCGATGCTTTTTATAAAGAATACAGCTTAAATTATAATTCCAGAAAGCATATTTTAGCTACAAACGCCTCTGTTAAATAATAATAATGATGATGATGATGATGATGATGATGATGATGATAATAATAATAGTAATAATCACTCAATGAAAAGACAGTAATTCCGTATTTATATTGCACAATTTAATACTGCGTTTACACAAAGATGTGAACAACGTCACAGACTGTGAACTTAGCAGGGAATGCCTGAGGTAAAATACTGTTGTCTATTCCCCTTAACAGCACATGTACACAGCTTCTGATTTTAAACGATCCCCTGTTACATAACGAATCACTGCTATTTAAAATGAACACATGGGGTGCTCACTTCTTCCCGATGCTCAGCACAGTGAAAAGCATTCAACTTGATGATCAGGTTTATTTTTTTCTTGCCTGGTGATTCTGTAGCAGACATCAACAAAAGACGAGTAGTTTGGATTTTAATGAAGACAGAAGACCATTTCTTGTATATATGTTTTATGTAAGTAATAAAATATTACTATAACATAAATATAAATGTGACTTTGCAGTCTACATTTAGCAATCAACATACAACCAATGTAGTAAACAAAAAGGAAAAAAACATACTGAAGTCCACTGCAACGTAACCATTAACAGAGCTGAACAAAAAAGCTCCAAACACTTTTAAGAAATAAATATATATATATATAAATGGTCAGATTCATAAATGAAATCATATTAAAATATCTTCTTGGAATTAGTAAGTGTACAAAACTGCCCGGAAAGAAACAAAAACGAAAAAACAAAAAACAAAACAATATCTCGGAACAAATACAAGTTTACATATTAGACATATTTACATATCGGAAATAATCCTGGCAACATTTTCTCTAAAATCTTTATTATTATCATTATTTTTTTTCCTGGAAAAAAAGTTTCCCTCATCTGTATTGAATAGCACTGCTGTAGGCTTTTGGACTGGTCCAACACTGAGATATGACACACGACACATGAGATTTTCAGATTTCCTTATAGATCGGGAAAAAATAAATATATCTAAAGTAAATCCCTTCATCGCTTACCCTCAATGAATGAATTGTAATTTTCTTTTCTCCGATTCCAGCGTTTAACTATAATACAATGACAATGTGAAACAAAAAAACTGAATTATATTAAAAAATAAAATAAAAATAAAATACACACTCAGAGGAAAACAAATCATGTACAGGCGTCATATTCCGACATGGGGCACTGAAGTTACCTGAGTTATTATAACTTTTCATATTTGACCAATCTCTCAAAATGTTTGGGATACAACAGGATAACAGGCAGTAAGCAGTGTGGGCTGACAGCGCTCTGTGGTGATAACCAGGAACCTGTAAACATGGGATTTTTAGGCTTTTGTGTTTAAGCCTAATGAGATCAGCTACACTCACACTTTTATTAAAAACATAATATAGCATTACTAATATTAACGAAAGAATAAGTGCTCCATGCAAAGAAAACAATAATTTTAGAACAATCAAAACCTCCAAAAAGAAAAGAAAAGACAAGAAAAGAAAAGAAAAGAAAAGACAAGAAAAGAAAAGAAAAGAAAAGAAAAGAAAAGAAAAGAAAAGAAAAGAAAAGAAAAGAAAAGAAACGCTTGCTTCTAATTTGGTGCTTTTTGCAAATTTCGGCGTGGTCAGCTGCAAAAAGCTCGATTTTTTTAAGGCATGCAGTCAGAACTTGGATGTCCTGTTGCACTTGCACAATTTCTAAAACGTGTCTGGCGTTATTTGTAAGTGTTTTGTTTTCGGGTGCCACAATTTCCATCACTCCTCCAACCATCAACTCCCACTGAGTAAACAGAAAAAATAAGAAATTAGCGGTTGCTCTGATGAGATACAGTACCCATAGCAAATAATGAACAAAATCATAGACACTTTGCAGGAAGAGAGACACTGAAGTTAAAGAATTTCCCGAACCAAAACATCACACTTAATATAACAAAGAAAGTATACACTAATATTCAGATAACCAGTTTAAGCCTGAAAAAAGCTAAATGTTCATTCAGTGTAGGCTTTTCATCTCCAGTGTTGATCATTTTCAGGCAGCAACCTCATTCGGGTCAGCGCCTACAGTTCATGGTACACCAGGAGGAGATGGACTCAGTTGCCACATTTAATTACCCCCTATTTGGAGCAGCCATTGGATATCAAATTTACTTTATATGCATGTCTCCTCTGTAAAATTTTGGTAAATAAAGATCTTTGTTTCACTTTAAATGCGCACGGAATCAGTAATAGCGAATTTTTCTTTTCTTTTTTATGATTCTTTTTTTCTTAACGTTTTTTTCCTCTTGCCATCTATTTGATGAGCACGCGAATCGCGAATACTAAAGGCAAAACTGATCTGTTCAACTTTTCCACGTCTCTTTTCTCTCAGGAAAACAAAAGCCAAACTTAAATACTGTAAACTCCATAGCCCCTTTCCCTTTTCTATCCCCCCGCGGAAATGCTCGGATTGTTCATGAAAACAGTCACTGCACAGGACTCTGTAGTGTGCGGTGTAGAGGAGGGGTCTCTGCTTGGGAATATACGTCCTCCATATTCGGGTGAGGGACCCCCACTGGTGTCATTCTTTTCTCTTTTTGTCTTCTGTTGCAAAACCAAACACGGACAACCTCTTTATCCAACTGCAGAGTACCGGCTAAAGTGCTGATTTCATGAGCAGATGGCTTTGGGCATTTTAAGAAATGATTTTCCAGCGCCCCTTTCACAGCCACTTCGATGGAGGTCCTCTTCTTTCGTTTCCTGCCCTGCGCAGCAATCTTGTCCAAATTGGTGGGACTGCCCGTGTTTGAGTCTGTCTCCTCCAGCCACTTGTTAAGGAGCGGCTTAAGTTTGCACATGTTCTTGAAGCTGAGCTGCAGCGCCTCGAACCTGCAGATAGTGGTCTGAGAAAAGACGTTTCCATACAGGGTGCCCAAGGCCAACCCCACGTCCGCCTGCGTAAAGCCAAGTTTGATCCGCCGCTGCTTGAACTGCTTGGCAAACTGCTCCAGATCGTCGGAGCTGGGCGCGTCCTCGTCCGAGTGATCCTGGTGGTGGCTGAAAGCCTGCTGGGGCGACTCCATCTGGTTGTCGTGGCTGGCCGAATCATCGTGGAGTGGGTCCCGCATGCCATGGTGCAGCGTGCCGGGCTGGGGACTCAACATTGCGTTGAGGTTTGTGTATCCAGGCTGTGAGTAGACAAGTGACTGGTGGCCGTTAGATGCTGGGGACAGCGGGGATAAGTGGTGCGTCGTGGCAGGCGCCCACGAACCATGGTGGCCACTCTGCGCCTGCTGGTGCACCAGGTGAGACCTGTGGTGGAACCCGTTGCTCAGGTCCTCCCTGCTCGCCTGCACGCTGGCTTTGTGCTCCTGTCCGATGTGGGTGCCGCTGGACCAGTCTGTGTTGGAGGTTGGCAGCCACTGATGGTGCGTCAGGCTCATCGGGTGTCCCGTGTTGGTCGCCGCAAGCCCTTGCAAGTACTCGTGGTGCATCATTTTCTGTACCTCTCTGTAGGTCGTCCCCTGGTGCATCCTGTCCGAATCCGGATGCATGAGCGGGTTAGACGGTAAGGAGTTATTCCTCGGAATATACTGAGCTGTTGTCGCCATGGCTCCTACTTCGAAAACTGACGAGCACTTCGGAGGTCTCCAGGCTTTAGAGCCAAAACGCAACAACCTGCTCTGGGAGGTCTTGTGGAAGAGCGAAGACACGCCTCCTCTCCGCTTGTATTGGCTCCTCTCCGATTCAAGCCCACTAGGGACACACTCAATAGGCGCAGGGGTTCAGAGCACGGTGCAGCGCATTTTTCGCACAGAGCTCCGATCTTACATATGTTATAGAAAAACATATGTTCTATTTAATAAATGTCTCTGAGTTTTTAACAGTAGTTTCTGCAGCTCGTTTTGGCGAACCTGCACACAAGGCGCGTCTTTTAATTAATTCATTTTTTTAAACTTTTTTTTTCTCTCTCTCTCATTTCATCCAATTTTCTCCAAGGAAGGTGAGCAGGGCTACAGCAGCGGGGTTTGATTAGGTTTCCTCTGGTTTAGATCGGTTGTTTTGCAAATAACCACGTGGGGGAGTACGGAGATCTTTTTGAAGGATACCCCCCACCCCCACCTCCCTCTAACACACACAGATGCACTTACAGACACACACCCGTGCACCTTTATAATAGGTCACTGATGATTATAGCGCTCCTCGTTTTAAACAGATTATAAGGCGCGCTGCTCCAGTTCTGCAGCCACCCACACAACGAGAGGCGTGTAAATAATATGCGACGTGTCTGTGGATGCTGTCGTAAATGTGTGACAAATTCGAAAGCATTTGCTCTGTTTCAAAGCCTCCGTGTGTGTCATTTATTTGTATTGTCTCGGTAATTTTCAATGTTGTGTGATCTCATCATCACCACCCACTTAGATCAGAAAGGCCAAAACGTGCTCCCTCGCTCCTTAGCCCTCCTCCCTGCACATACGTTGAGTACAGGTGACAGAGGTGACATATTATAGCGATGCAATTTAGTCCCATCATTACGCCTCTTGTTTTGGTATCCTCAAAGCCAGACTGCCACATCTGATAATTACCATTTATAATCATAAAACAATCTTTATTTTTTTAATATGACACGGACTCTTCGCTGCCAAGCTCTTGCAGTTAATCTGGATATTCCCCAGCCCTGGAAATTTAGATTTAACAGATTCCAGATTTTTTTTTTAATTGTTAATTTTTTTAAGTCTATATTCTGATATCATTTACCTCTCGAAGCATTTTACTAAGCAGCAACTTGGAGAGAGAAACCTTGTGTTTCTTTCTCCTGGCTCCTTCCTCACTACCTCTCCCGGTTGATCTGATTATTTTTCCCTTCACGTTTTGTCCCAATAGCAAATTACCAATTCTATGAATTGCAAAGCAGCCTCAGAGACGCTGAGGGGTAGAGAGAGAGGGGGGGATGCGAAGATTGAAAGGGATCTTTGCAAACACAATCACGTTCTTAAATGGAAATGCGGGGCTTTAAACAAATCTTACATCTCTCCCGTTCCATTCGCCTAAAACTCTGCAATCAGGCACATGTTCCGCTCCTTCTAAAACAGGAGCTTTTTGGAAGGTTTTTCAGGCGCAACAGTCCCATTTTAATCATTTACCTGAAAGCAATGTTTTGCCTTTTTATCTCTGCCGCGTGTTTGTTTGTTGTCATCTTCCCCATGCGACTATTCTCTTTCTATTTACAGTACGACTCAACTCGAGTGTTCATTTTAATCCGGGAGTACAAGACTAAAAGGTAAGTTGTCTCGTTTCTGCTGTCACTGCGTCCTTGCTGTACTCTTGTCTCCAGCGTTAACAATGTAGCGAGTGTGTGTGGCGTGAGTGTGTACGTGTGTGCGGAAAATGTTGTCGGGGTCACAGGTGCTCGTCATCATCTCTTGAAAGGCGTGGTTTTTGTCCACCCATCCGTTATATATTTATTTGGAATGAGTGGGAGACAGTCCTCGCGAGTTATCTTCGTGTCATCTCGGAGCAATTTATTAGTAACAGAGTCTGATATTTGGGTATAAGATTACGTTTCTGATGCAATGTAAGAATGTAAGAAACACGACTCGTGATTGATAAGTTACACTTGATGTTTCCCTTTAATTCTTAAAAAATGAATAGTTTGCATGAGTAATTTGTCTTAAAATACATTGATGCATAATTACACTATGTATTACCACATTTATCAACTAACCTTTACGTAGTTTAATTAATATATTATGCAATACAACGCAGAAATCTGAGAAAAAAATTAAAAGTAACATGTATGACGAGGATGACAAAGCCCCTCTAACGCGACTCCTTTAATAAAAATCACTGTCTTTCCTCTGTCTTGAGAGACCCCGGGTTTGCGCGTCACTGCTATAAGAGACCAGAGCTCCATGCAGCTCTCAGTTAATGAAGATGCGTTAGCCATTCAGTCATTCTTGTCCCCAGTCTATAAAAAGCAGTGGTTTCTGCCTCACAGACCCAGTCTTGTGCTTTGCCATGCCAGCGAGTAGCTGCTGGAAAAGAAAGGTCCAGATGCTTTGGCCCCTTTGTAAAGAATATGGCCTTGTGTGCGCTGAGGTGCATTTTTGCCAGGATGCGCGAGGTTTCCATGGTGCGCTCGATGAAAGGGATCACACAGAACTTAGTGGTGAATGACAGGCCGTACAGGAAAAGCGGCTGGAAATGAAGGCGATATGATGGATTCAGAAAAAAGAAAGAAATTACGAGGCACACTTACAGTGGAACCGCAGAGATGAGGAAGTTGGGTGACCTCTTTTACCCGAAATAAGTCCCCTTTGTGTCACCCCGAGAAGACAATTCTCTGATTTATTCTGTACTTTCTTGCTAGCCCCTTTCCTGCGATGCACTGACAGATTTGGAGAGACAGTGTAACGAAATCTGAACAACAGAAAACTAACCAAACAACGTTTTCCCGGACCGCTCACAATTTTAGAATATCCGTGCTTCTCTAATTAAGGTTGTTGTTTAGGAGTAGAGGCATTTTTCTTTTTGGGGCAGTCACGTGTTAATCTCCCCCCTCAATCCCAATCTTTTTAAATGCAGCAGTTTTTGCCAGGGCGCAACTCAGCCAACAAAACCTCATCGACCCTTCAATTAACCAAACCCCACCTTTTATTTTCGCGCTGCCTTGTTGTGAGTACAGTTAGGATGGGAGGGATGCATTAAAATTAAGCACGACAAATAGGATGATTATAAAATGATCTCACAGCCGTTTCTGTATCTCGAATAAAATGTTGCTGGAGACAAAGTTTAAATGTTTTATCAGAGAACAATTGAAACAAAGTGAATATATATCATTTCACAATGTAACTGATTTTAGCAGCAAAGCTTTACATTAGATTTTTTTTGCATTTCGAGGTTTTAGTAGTTTCGACATTTAAGTCCGAAATAAAGTTAAATCGGGTTTTGTTTTCCACAAATATATCCGAAATAAGACACTCGCGTTCCTAAAACGGCAGCGGCTTCATATTAGATGTTTAATACAAGTCTTCCTCAATTCCAGGGGGAACATTTCGAACTGCCACAAGCTATATTGAGATTTTAAAATTCATGTGATGTACCCCTCAACTACCGCGAGTAGAATAATATCCACCAACTCACTCAATCAGATAATTGTAATTCGTTTCCTTTTTCTTTTTCTTTTTTTGACAGACATGCGTAATAGGCACTAAATATGCAATTGTAATTAAAAAAAAATCCTGTTTGCCCATCGATTCTGAAGACCAAAATCGTCCCGTGCTTTTCAGGTAACTTTTTTCGCTTTCTTTTTTGGCTAATGAACTTGGGCTATTCTGCCAGCATCCCCCTGAGAATGCGACGGGGGAAAAACGCTTCTCTTGTGGTAAAAGGTGCGAATTTCTTCCTCTATCTCCCGGCTAATTAGGCGGGGTCTGAACACGCCAGAATGAATATTCATGAAAGCACCGGCGCGCAATTAGTAGTGGAGAGAGTTCCCAACTTCAATCCCCAAACAACGCAGCTTGTACAGGAACGGGGTACCGGTCCCCCCCACTCCATGTGTCTCTGCTTCTGCTCAAGCACTCTTTGAGCCCTCACTTGTACTTTCAGCTCTTATCAGCCAGTCTCCTGCTCCCCTTTTCAAAGCAGCCACCATCACAAGTGATTTGTCCACTTCATATAAATCTCAGTGTTGTGAACAACAGCTAATCCAATTATATTTCTCAATAACTTTTTAAGTGCCCATAAGAGTTATCCTATTTCCTGTGCCAGCAGAGCTTTTTGAGTTCACTTTTTGACATACAAGCAAAAATTTCAATTCAATTTTAAAAGACTCCTCGTAAAACTCCACATTTAAAGCTCATGTTTAGAGTAGAGCACAAATGTGCTTATACAGAAAAACAACCTGCACAAGCATCCATCACCTAATGACACAGATCACCTGACATCACACACAATTTTGAAAGCATCACACCTTACTGTTCCAAATCCTCTGAATTGCTAATATTCTTGCTGCACACACCCCTTCCCCCTGCCTAAAGCCTCTTTCTACCTGTCTAGCAGTTTTGTGTGTCATGCCAGTGTGATCCTTAGCCTATGTGCCTGGTTTCCTGTCCATCCATCCGCCCGCCAAGGACCCACAATCCTCTGCTTTGAATTCAAGGTGATTCTTATCCCCGACACCCTCCTGGCCCAGCGCGTTTGCCTCTTGCCTCCATAAAGACGTGTTTATGTATGTATGTATGTGCAAAGGGGAACACGAGGAGGTTTTTCAAGGGTTGGGGGGAGATAAGCTGCGGAATTTGAGGCCGGTGAATATGGATGGGGTCCCAGCTTTTAGAGAGGACCGCTGATAGAGAGGTAAACAGCTCCTGGCCCAGAGGAGAGTGCAGGGGGGTGGCTGATGCATGCACTGGCATACATTTGGGGCCTAAGTCCATACCCCCCCTCTCTGTCATTCACTCCGCATCTCTGAAGACTATCTATCATTATTTCTTCAAGTTATTTTGTTGTTAGAATGTCGAGTGTTTGCTTTGGACAATCTTGTGGATTTTGATTATTAGGTTGCATTATCAATGCACGGGAAATGATGTTTGCAAATCTGACTTTAGGCTGAAAAAGCCAAAAGTTTTTGGATTCATTTTGCTGATAGTGCATTTTTAAGAACAGTAA